GATAGTTAATCTGATTTATCATATAGCATTACAAACAGGAAGTCCTCGGCATGGGTCAGAGTACTAGTATACCCCAGACCACTCGTTTTGATGAATATAACATGTACGGAAACATTACTGCCGTCTGAAACTAACTTTTAATTTTATTCAATTAAACAGGAACATATATATTAAAAGTCATATTTTTTACTAGTGAACCACGTTCACGAGAACATCTGATAACTATTGTGTGTTCGGAAGATGCGCATTGCGGAAAGATACTTGTAGTTTGATACGAAAGTAGTGACATCGCATGGAAGTAAATATGACGTTATTGTTTACTTGCTCATCATAATATTCCAGCCCTGCTTACGTTGGGCATACGGCGTTTAACATTGGTGTTACTATATGTACGATACTGTCTATGGTTAAACAGGGCCCAAATTGATAGGGAGTAAAACACGGAAGTGGAAGAGCTGTCCATGCATTGACCAATCACACAAGAGCTCACAAACACCAACGAAATATTTGTTGTTGTACTTAACAAAGGGGTTTGGCACTAAAAACAATGGAACGTTTATAGGCTTAACGTTGGATTTAGATCGTGTTATAATCCAAATCCCCCACTAAGACTTGTAAGCACCAATTTTCATATGAATAGTTCACCAACAGACTCTCAACAGGTGAATGTAGTAACTAATTTAAATTCTCCTGACACATTCTCACGACAAAGACGATGACATAACTGATATAATTAACACCCAAGCACCAGATACTGAGATAAACAACATGAGACCGATGGTACAATAGATAACATTGAACTTGAAACTGAAATGGATACAGATTCATCAAAAAAATATGAGCAAAAAGCGCACGCGCTCTAAATCACCAGTTCATAGAGAAGAACAAAACAATGACCAGTTGAATGACGAAAATAAATGTGAACCATGTTCTAAAAAGCGTAACGATGGAAATGAAATCGAAATTGTTGAAGAAAATTGTATGATTGATGAAGAGAGGGTACGAACCCCTCCTTCCCCTTCCATTGCATCACCATCGCCTCCCCTTCACCCCCCCCACGTCTATGCCAATGTAACTGTGTGTAATCCAAAACCACAGCCCGAGCTTACAGAGTCAACCCCATTTCCATCATCTCCCTCACTTGAGTTCACAGTTGAATCCCCGCGCTACTCGCCACTATCCGAAATCCCCATTGATTTAAGTGGTTTAACTGATCAATCACAAGATCTTTCCAGCACACCTATGTCACAAAATAAAACCGCTGATGACATGGAGGAAACTGCTAGTGAATGTGGTGAGAATGAGGGGTCTATCATTTCAGATGTTTCAACATATACTGATAGCAGCGAATCAACAATATCAAACGCAAATATCAAAACCTTTTTGGTTTCTACACTTCACTCACGTAGATTTATAGAATTTTGAGTTTTGAATTCTGCCCCAATCTTAAAATATTGGTTCGACATCTGATAAACTACCGCAATACCACGCAGTTGAACACATATGATAAACTACCGCAATACCACGCAGTTAAACACATCTGATAAAGCTCGCATGCACAGACTTATCAAAAAAATTAAACAGCAAATCAAAACGGGTAACTTTATCGCTGATTTGTAATTTCCCCTTTTATGATGGCAAACACAATTACATTGCGCAACTTACAATGCCAATGGTTGCCGGGACGCCCTCAAACGGTACAGTGTTTTCAATTATCTCAAGCGTGACCATCCCTGTAATATTTATATGCTACAAGAAACACACTCTCTTGTCTCCGATGAAAATATTTGGAAACTTGTGTGGCGTGGCCTTGGTATTTTTTTCCATGGCACC